AACCCCGTTCAGCCGTTAGACCATATTTTAGGCCCGGCTATATTTAGGGCCCCCGGCAAAAGCCAGAGGGGGGCTTCAAAATAACTAAAAAATGTTTGCCACATGGTGATAGAAGAAGAATGAGAAGACGAAGAAAAACAAAGTGTAAATTGTGTCATACACACAAATTATAAATATTGCCAATGTAATGCTGAAGACAGACTGATGAACTACTCCCAGACAGTGAGTAAATTCTTGTTGAAAATCAATATCATATTAACTTTTTTTGGAGAAAAAAAAAACCTTTACAAGTTTGTTGTGTATGCGGTAACTCACGGAAGTCGGTTAAGAGCATCAAAGGGAGACTACTCGCGACCGGCTGTTAACTAGTTCGTGCGACAGGAATCACTTGGGCCATGCCAAGTAATTATTCTTTGTTCTAAAGCATCTTGTCCTGACAGCCGCAGGATGCTCTGGTTTTTCTTTCCTGAATCTTCCAATAGTGTTGTTTTTTATTCAGACCAATCACTGTAGCGTCTCCGTGGCAAAGCGGTCAAGCCGTTTGCCTCGCTTGCTGAAAGTTATGGGTTCCTTCCACCAACGTGTCGTTCATATTACGAGGACATTATTTCAGACATCCCCTTGGATCGTCGCAAGAACAATGGGGTTCGTACTTTATGCGATGGTCTTAGCAGGCGGCTAGTCGCCGTTCTGCGGAGAAAGACCGAGCTATATAGGATAAAAATTCGGTGCCACAAAGTTGATCCTCTCCAGGTTAAATTAAAATCCCCCCCTCCCCCCAACCTCAACTATTATCACACTATACATTGTTTATTTCCGATATCTGGTACTTTTGGCTGCTATACTAGTTCACTTCTTACCCACAAATTGGTATAAACTCGCCCCAATATGGTAGGTTATTCTTAACACTTTATTCACAATATTCCTGATCCTGATTCCCCAGCTGTTAGTCTCAAACAACCGTACGGCTGCCTTGGGTAGTCAGGGAGAATGTTGGAGATGAGGGTATAGTGACGAGAAGTGGGGCAAGGGGTACTAAGAGAGAACATGTTAGGCTTTATGACATTGAATATGGAGGAAATAAAGTTTGAAAACAAAAACAAAATAAACAAATTTAAAGGACTTTTTTCGACGGCTACAAGCGTATTGGTATAGATATTTTATAGAGAAGTCTACACTCGGTGGGTGATGTGGTCAATATCATACCGGCCACCTTTACTTTATCTAACTTTGCCTGGTACCCGACTTGGGAGTCAAGGTCATTTAAAAAGAATCTGGTTTCGTCAGGGCCTGAACTCACAAACTTCAGATCCGAAGGCGGACGTCTAGCCGCTACACCACAGCGGCCCAACTGGGCATATAGGACTAGATCTATATTTTATAGGCCAGTCGCCACTCGGTGGGTGATGTGGTCAGTATCATGCCCGCCATCTTCACCTCCCAGAACTTCACCTGCTAACTATTTAATTAAGGCTGGATCGAGCTACAAATCCGGCTCCGCCAGGACCTGAAACCACTACCTTCAGATCCGCAGGCGAACGTCTGGTCGTTTCACCATGGAACTTCCCCAATGGGAGGAAGGGGGGGGGGGGGGGGATCCGTACATATATTTTTTGTTGTTCACGACAGCAGCTGATGGCTAGGGCCACCGAGAAACATAAAATATTGAGTAAGTTTAATTTTACGCTGAAGAAGGCTTTCTGTCCGTCACGTTCATTTTGACTTTCGCAATTGTATTTGGGGTGGGGGGGGGGGGGGGGGGAAGGGGGGGGTGGGGGGGGGGGGCTAACTAGTTATTCTGTTATTCTTTCGTTTAGACCTTTTCCCCCCAGTAAGAACTGGAACGTACGACTATCGCGCCGACAGGTAAACGTGCTAGCCACTCACTGCCTTGGTTCCCATAGCACGATAATAGACATCAACTGGCGTTTTTATTATGTTGTTCTGGAAATTGTAAACAAAACCATGCTATTTTTAACCCGACAAGAGATAAAAGCAAAGCTCCCACAACGCATGCTTGCCTGAGAGCATTAAACTGTTTATGTTTACAGTTGAAAGGGGAGAAAAAGCACGTTGATTAAAGCCTGCACTCCATGTACATTGTCAACGCACTGAAGAGCTCACACTTTGCCCATCGATATGTTTGATTTAATCTTCGTGAAGAGATGCATTTTAAAACGTGTTTGCTGAAATATTTCCGGCCTATGTACCTGCCCTCATCAAATCAATGTGTGACCGGAGACTCGAATGTTGCAATAATCTTTGAAAAACCAGGGTGTTTAAATCCGAGAGAATCGATGTTATTGTGCTTGTTTTTATACAATATTGAACGGTGCAGAACTGGGACTCAAACGTCGTGAGTGTCATTACACAGCACGAAACACCTCAGCCACAACGGCTATCAACATAGATGTCTGAACAACTCGAAGGTCGAAGTTCGAAATCAGATAAACACTCCGCAAATAATGAGGCAAAATGCATAAGGACTCCTCCGTCACTGGCAACCTTCCGTCATTCCAGACTCTTCTTCTTCAGGAAACATGTTAGGAAACATGTAGCCTTTAAAAAAGATGTCTTGCAGTGTTGTACCTCCTCGTGTACCATATAGCTTTGTCTTCACTGTGGTTGGAACAGGCCAGATTGCATCTCTGTTAGCAGTATACAGTTTGTCAGTGTTGGGGCACATACTCAGCATTTTCGGCTGCCAAGTTGCGGGGAGCATGACTCCGTGTTTCCAGCACCGAAATGTTTGACGAAGCCTATTGTGCCCTAAACTTAGTCCGTCATTCCTGACGAGAAAATTGTACTGTGCTGTAGGGAGCAATGGAAATCACAGACCATGGCGGTGGCGTGTGTGACTAGCTAATCCTGTTTGCCTTAAGACGAAGAATGTAGTTTCTTGTCTCCGTAGCACAAAGCCTGGGCAGCATTGCAGAGATCATGTATTGCCCGTGCAGCGCGAACCCATCTGCCTCATTTGCTCCAAAAGAGAGCTACACCAATATTTGTTTTTCCCAACAAAGCACGCTTGAGGAACTGCCGGATGAGACCAGAATTGCTTTTTCTGTCCATTTGTCGAAGCTTCCCTCTCACCCTTTACCCAGACCAGCTACCAACCAAGGATAAGGGCCTGGTCTGCTGTGCTATAACATTAAGTATTCAAGCTGCTTTTTCTCTTACTAGTATAGGGCTTTTTTCCTCCCCAGTACACTCCTTCCTCTATAACCGTTAGCTTGTTTATTTGGTTTGTTTTTCGTCCGTTTATTTTTTTTTTTTTAAAGTATTCTTGAAATGTTAGATTATGTTGGTATTTTCCTTGCCCATCGCGGAGCTTTCTTGTCCAGTTTATTTGTATAATTAACTCTATTTGTCAATAAAAGTTTGTTTTAATTTGTAAGCTTTAGGAATAAATTAAATACAGCTCTTTGTTTATAGGCTCGGTTTACGGCTCTGTCGTTCAATTCACATGTTCAGTTTTTACAGAAATCCATAGGGATCGTCGCATGAGCTCTGTAGTTCATGCTTCGTGCGACGCTCTTGGCAGGCGTCTGGTAGTTTTGCGGAGAGAAACCGAGCGATATGGAATAAAACTTAGTGCAATGAAGTCGATCCTCCAAGCTTAACTGTATCTGTAATTGTAGTGTGTTGCTGTCGGTACATCTCTTAGACTGTCTGTCTATCTATTAGTCTATCTATGAATCTTTCTTCGAATTGTCCGTCTGTCTTTAAACGGCCATGCACGTGTCCCAGTCAACGAGCAAGTCAGAACGTCTGTTTGTATTATTTTATGTCTATCTGACATGTGCCATGCACCAATGTCTCAGAGTCTGTCTGATAAAAATGTATGTATATACATGTACGCATGTTAAGCAGTCTTATGTCTATCTGTCCATACAATGTTCAGGAATATCTCAGTACGTGTCTGAGAAAATTCATGTATGTACGTCTGTTATCAATCTATCTGCTTGTTTGTTTCCTGCCAGCCAGTTTGCCTTTGCATCAGTTTGTTTATGCACTGGCATGCTTAAATGTTTGTTGGTCAGACAGCTTGTCCATCTAATAGTCAGCCTGTCTGACTGTTTCTCTTTTTGTCTCTATGTTTGTCTACCGGTCAGTCAGTCTACTAGACCAGTGGCTAGGTATGATCAATTCGCACATGTAAGTATTAGGAGGTAACGATTACAATGGAGAGGGTATCACGTGATACTTCACTTCTCGTCACGTGGCTTTTGAGAATATGCGTGCCCAATAAATGGTAGCTTTCACAGTTGATGCCTGATGGTGTAAGCGGCGACTACAGATATTACATGCACGCCTCGACATTGCTGTAAACCGATCTGAACTCCTATCGGCCTGTCCGCCAGCTAGCCAGACAACCCGTCCGTATGAGAGCCAGCCAGTCATTCAGTGTGTCTGTCTACTTGTACCATATAATGTAAGATTTTTATAATCTTTCAAACTCATCAGTGTGCGTGTGAGTGTGTGTGTGTTTGTGTGTGTCTGAGAACAAGCTTATCCGTCATCCAGTTCGTCTGTCTGTCTGAATATCTGTTTGTCATTTACACAACCTATCTGACTAATAACACCAAGTCAGTCGGTATGTGTGTGTCGACCTGCACTGTCTGAGGGCCTGTCTGTTTGAATGCCTTATAGTCAGTTGGATAACTATTGGCCACACAGTCATTCACTTCCGATTATTTGCTAAAAATAATTGTCACATTCAACAGCCTTTCCCGAAGGGGCAACCGTAGGTTATAATTGTGACTTTCTTATGTGCGCCAAATAACAGGGCTTAGCGTTGCACATCACTAAGAGCCCTGAAAAAGACACTTTCAGTGTCGATGTGATTAAAGGAGACAAGACCCAAATAATGTCCCGACAGGCGAAGAATTTGTCTACTAGCGAGCCAATGGACGACCTGGTCGCCGATGACGCAGTCATTCAGTATGTCGACCTACTTATATCTTATATCAAGAAATTATGTAATACACCAAACTCACCAGATTTCCAAGCACGCCGATGGCGCACCAGATGGGAGTGACGTAACGATCCACAGTCAAGGAAAAGGGAGCCAGGTGGGTGAGAACATAATACAAGGACTTCCAGTCGCGTACAATCACAATATCACTGGAGTTGGTGTGGTTCGAATAGGGAACTGCATTCAGCATCTCGACTTGTGGCTTTCAAACAATGACTTGTAACACAAAAGTTCTTTTTTGTATTGCTTTGAGTCTACAGAATACTATCCTATGGTCTTTTTACAATTATTGTACAACATATGCATACATAGCATAAGGCAGATATATTTGCTTGTCACAAACAGCTATGTGCATAAAAGGGCAGGTCTTCACAGTGTTTAAGACGTAATGCGCTTTTGTATCAAAGTAGAAATACCAGTCAGTTCACACGGACACAGCTAGCGAATATCGTCATATCCTAAACACTGCGTTGAAAGCTGGGTTTTTTTTCCTACTGTATATTTAGGCAACCATAGTGTAGCGTCTGTGGCTTAAGCGTTGCGAACACGCTTCGTAATGCCGGGTTGCCGGGTTCGAGCCCAGCTGCAGACTGTTTGTCTTGCGCTGGTTTCGACATTGGTACCAAGAGCTGACCGTTTAGATGTAATGGCAGACTACTGAACGTCAAATGTGCCTAGAAAAACTACAGCAGTCAAAAAAAAAATGCTGATGTTGGTCCTGCAGCGTCCTGTAAAGAATACGAAACTAACAGTACATAGTTGTTTACTGGCAGTTTCTGAAGAGTGCTTAGTTTGAAAAGGATTATTGTAACTTTCTGTCTAGAAGGTTGCAGTTTGGAGCAATTTGTTGTTGAAGTAAAGTTGTAATCTATGTATAACTTGTTGCAAAGTCTATATACAAGAAGCATTTAACGATGCTCCTGGCTACAGCCACGACTGATTGTCCAGGAAACTTGATACAGCGACCATCCAAATAGTGACAATTCATTTTTCAAGAAATAAAATTGACAAAGTTACACAGATACTGTCTTGATCTGCTGACCAGCAAGACACCCACTGTGATAGCTGTGACAAGTTGTTATAAAATGTTTAATCCGTGTACTCCTGCAGCAAGGCGAGGTACCAGTCTCCTGATAACTTGTTTGTGTACACATGGGGATTCTGCCATGTCATTGATTCGTGAAGACATGTATTATCTGTTGGGATAAATGCAGATCAAGATGGGGGACACACACACGTCTCCACTGTCGTAAAGCTTTGATGGCTTTCTTACTGCGAGCAGTACGTCGCTAACGTTGCATTAATTCTCTTTGTCAGACAGTCTGATGACAAACCATATTTTCTTCTAACCTGTAAGAAGAAGAAAGATAAAAATCGATACATTATTAAGACATGAATCAATCTAGACAAACTAGTGTCTGAATAAACAGATGTAGCAATATAACGATTGTCATTTCTTTATAGAATAATCAGTATTCGATACAACCTGTTCTTAGTTAGTTAGCTGGTTTATCATCGTTGCACTCCGGACATGTCCATAGGTACTCAGACGTTCCTCTCAGTTTGAATCAAAGAGTCCAGTGGCTAACAGTACCTGTTATATGTTGATTAACAAGTCCTCTAATATGCGTCTCGTTTTTTGCTATATCGATCTTAACTCTCAAGTCTATCAGTCTGGCGAGTAATGCGTATTCATAGCCCCAAAGTCCTCCACTTTTCTCATTTCTCAGAGGGCATTAATGATAGCAGCTTGATCCATAGGTTGACCGTCGATAGTAATAGCGGATCCAGCCAGCCTATCAGCTCTTTTATTTTCATAGACGCAGCGTATCTCGGAACGAAAAAAAGGTGACTTTACCCACTGTGGACTTCTGTAATGATTCAACCCATTCTCTTCTCGCCGAACCTGTTTGAACCCTCTGGATAATACTCGTTGAATTACTGAGTACACACGCGCAGGTGTAGTTTTGTGTTTCGAACCGCGCGAACGCTTGCGTCACTGCCATCACCTCCATCGTCATACTGCTGTTTCTCTGTTAATGCAGAATTTTTAGCTGCGTATACCAAACTTGACATCCCATTTGCGCCAACGGGTTCAGGCGGAGGTGTGCAGTGGGGAGAAAACTAGGCCTCTCCTAACTGGAGAAAATGCAACCTGGAAACTTCATGTTATGTAAAGGACCTACTTCCACGCCTTCAGGTGTATTGGGCATGTAGAGATAGACCAGGGGTTCTCAACCTTCCTAATGCCCCGACCCTTTAATACAGTTCCTCATGCTGTGGTAACCTGCAACCATACAATTATTTTCGTTGTTAATTCATAACTTCAGTGAATATGTGTTGTCCGATAGTCTTAGGCTACCTCTATGAAAGGCTCATGACCCACAAAGGGGTCGCGACTCATAGCTTGAGAAACGCTGGGCTAGAGCTATATTTCATAGACCAGTCGGCACTCGGTGGGTGATGTGGTCAATATCACACAGACCGCCTTTGCTTATCAGGACTGTACTATGTACCCACTCAGTGCGGGTCAACCCTAAAGAAGCATATCAATTTCATCGAGCGCAGATTGGCTTATATAATATGCAGTTATGTGAATTTGTACACATTTAATTGTGTATTGTTTCCTAAGGATTATAAGGATACATCCTCGTGAAATATCCTGTACAGTGAATCACAGATGGATAGAAGATGACGATGGCATCTACTACGATCTAAAGATAAATTCACTCAGGACACAAATAATACACATATTGAGATGGATTCACTGGAATTGGATTCCGTGTAACGTACTGTAGAGAGAGCAAAAATCAGGATGGTAATAGGGATACAGGAGTGTATGATAGCAGACATTTGAATAACTGCGAGTCTGAGAACAGGCACATTTAGGACATGCTGTATTGTCAGGAAATCTAATGATGAAAGAACGCAAGAGGGTGTTGCTAATTAAACTAGATCGTCATTGCTATGGGCTGTGATTGATATGCCTCTCTATCGTACAGTGTAACACTCATCTTCTTCTTCTTTTCTGCATTCCTGAAATATTTCGCGGCGTCAGGGCAGGAAGAGATCTTTGGAATGGTCTCTTTTCTTCGCTTTGCAATAAAGTGCTTTTAAGTGTCTCTGATATTTCTGCGGTCCATCTTCTGCGTGGTCGACTTCTGGTTCTGTTACCGCTGTATCTCTATAACATTGCTCTCTACGGTGCCCTGTTTGTACGTATACAGCTTTGCACAATGTAATAAGGTGTTCGTTTACTTTGTAATCCTGTAGTACCTTTCACAGTTTATTTCTATTAACTCGACTGAGACGCTCGTCATCATCATTAATTTCCACATCTGCTGTAAGCCTTGTGGGGAGGAGCAGTTTGCGATTCACAGCTTGACAGTCAGCAATGGTTCTTTTCGTTCCGTGTAGATGTCGAAACTTTTTAATGACATCAAAGCATGTTCTCCCCTTGCTTTCATTTTAGATCTTTTCACGTGCTGCGCTTGCGTCGCTAGTTTTTCTGGCTGCATTCTTACTAGATGACCAAACCATTTGATCTTTGAAAAATTGTAACATTATCGTCTGGAAAGCCAGAAAAGTGCGAGCAGAAAGACGTATTGAACTTAGCAGAATAGATTGTAACCGAAGTTACTAGTGACTGGCTATTTTGCCAATGTTGTAGAGCTGACAAAGCGGCAATATGGAAATAAAGACATAATAAACTCATCGACTGGTATATTATTATTAATAATATTCAGTTTTTGATAGCCAGTGCTGCGCATCGAGCTCGAAAAGTGCCTCCCCGTGCGCCTAATGGCAATAGTGGGAGCTCATTATGAAGATGATGATAATGATAATTGTGTTTTCTGTTTGATCATCATCGTAACTAACTTAATGTACGAGTTAATTGATTTGGTGCCACCAGTCATCTGATGTGCACAGTCTGATAGTGAAAAGGGTTATTTCCTGGAGCGTTAAGTCTAATGGGTTGCTTTATTAAAAAAAACGTATTATAATAAGTCTATATAAGAGTTTATGAAAAGAATTATATACAAGATATATGAATTCTGGGGTTTTTTTTTTTTTAAATATGACCAGAATATTTCAATTGTCTTTTTTTTTTCTTTTACAAATTATCTTTTTATGTGCAGTCTTTACAGAACCTTTGTATTTTTTTTTTTTTTTTGCTTACATGAAATACGATTAAATCTTCCGTATATTCGCATTTCTAAAGACAGTTCGATTTTTAGTTGCCCGTCTATTGTCCAAGTTTCTGCACCACACATAAATACCATTTGACAATTTTTATTTGTAATATTGTGTGTGTGTCTGTGTGTTTTCTTTAAATAATCTATCTAGCTATCAATAATTATCGCATCTAAGTGAAAATAGTTTTAGCCATTCCTTTTCTCTTCTGGATAAATTACCTACACGCCGTGATTATTAACCAGAAATGCCAAAGAAACTTTTGATATCATAGCAGCACTTTTCTTCTTCTGCCTTTCTAGCCCTCAATGGAGCATAAACCCTAAACTAACTCACGCCAAGTCTTTCTATCCTTTGCTATCGAATGCAGCCCCCCCCCCCTCCCCCTCCCCGGTCCTCCCAATTTTTCTAACTTCATTCTCCAGCTTCCTTGTGATGAGGTGCTTTGCATGGTCTCCACGATTACATGGTGGCAAGCAGAAAGTCCGTGCAACAAGAGGCAGCACGGGATACTTGTGGCTAGTCGAGTAAGCGAGGGAAAGCCCGAGCTAGACTCGTGGTCAGTTGATCAACAGAAGTCGTGGAAGACGGTTACAGTTATTTGAAGATGTAGTCTTTATGTCGCGAGAATGACTAATATTTGAAAATGTCGTGAGCGATAGAAGTGTAGGTAATTGTGGAAGCTGTGGAATAAAAGTAATTGAATAAACTGACAGCATGAACAAAGGAGCTGAGTGGAGTTTGTATTGTCAACTCTAGATGGTAAAGCCGGTGCAAACCAAGGTTCATTCTAAGTTTATTTCAAGATAGTTGAAAGCGTAGCTTCAAGTCAAGCATCGAATCATTCCATCCCTTCTCCGTGTGTTTTTGGGCCTTTCTTTTTCCCTACGCCCCTGTGGGTTCCAATGCAAAGACATTCTAATACTGTTTTCCAGTTTTCTCAATGCGTGTCCTATCCAACGCCAGCATCTTTTCTTCACCTCTTGGTCCACTGGA